GAACACGAGCCGAATGTTGGTGCGCCAAGTTAAGAGGTTGTGGCTTGAGCAGGGCCCAAAATGAGTTTGCCTTTACGAGTATATGCTATTATGCTATTTGCCCCAGCTTAATTTGCACAGATGCATGCATATACTCACAGTCCAGAGGCCAATGGTCAGCGACCCATAAACCAATTTCCCCTAGCCAAGTACATAGAAAAACTGAAAATCTCTGTGCAGGTTTAGTGCTTAATTAAATTTAAAGTAATACTTCAAAAAAGAACACATATTTGTGTTGCAGGTGTGCATAGCTTACAGATTTGCTACAATTTATAAGACTCTCGGTATTCAAATCTATTTCATATACACTCGTATGTTTGCCTACATGTGGAAATTCATCTTAGTTAGGCATGACTACAATTTTTCTGACACGAATGCGATGACTTCGTTTCATTTCGCTTCTTTTTGTTTCGTTAATCTGTTCGCCATATCTCTCATTGTTTTTCGTTTTATTTTTTATTCAAGGGGGCTAGAAGGGGGAAAGTTGCCCAAGGCAACTTCATTTTCATTTCCATTTTCATTTTCATCTCGATCTCGAGAGCTCCCCTTTGATGGATAGCTGTATAGGTCTAGCTGTCATAAAGGAGCGAACAGTATTGGGAAACTTTTACTTTTCAATGCAAATACCACAGTACAGTGGCGTGCCAATCCCCAAAACCGTTCAATTTGCACTCGTCGGTTCCAATTGTGGACAAAATGCAAAATCTAAAGACATACCTTCGACCGCAACAGGCGTAGATTTTCCTTGTTTCCCTTCATTTCCCGTCATTTCCAGTTTGATCCCCGATTTAACCTTGGCTTCTTGGGGCAGCTGCTGCAATTCAATGGCGCTACATTTATGATTGCCCAACCAAACCACTGTGGCACTCCCGATCCCTCTACATTGCAGTCCATATTTTTGGGGCCACTCCGAGTCTGGCGTTTTAATTTTATGTATTCGGGCTCGGCGAGAAATGTCAAAAGCGACATGCCCTCCCACCTTTAGCTTTGGGCGGCACAATGAGAGAAAATTGAGATAGGTCGCTACGAAGCAAATGCAATTTTCTTTGGAGGTGAGTGAAGGAAAATTGTCAGTTTAAATCAATTGCTTATAGTTTGCTGCCCAGCTTTCCATTCCTGGTATCTAAAGTCACTTGAGCTAAAACATACCCATACCCAAAACAAGAAACATTTTTCAGCGCTTGATTTTGGAATCCAGTTAATTGGTACTCTGCATTGCCATATTTACCGCCTTTGACGTTTTCACCTGCGCACGAAGTCGCGACCACGCCCCCTAACAATCCGTCGCCTCTTAACATATTTGCGCAGCACAAACAGTTAAGCAGCTTATCAGCGAGGAAAGGGGTTAAACCACAGGCGTCAAGTGGAGGGATTGGGACTCGGATTCAGTTTCAGATTCAGATTGGTCGGTCTGCTGCGGTTGGGTTCCCGGTACCCGGTTCCCGGTTTTCGGTTTTTGGCTTTCGGTCAGCTATGGTCAACATTGGCCATCGGAACCACCCAATCGTGCACGGGAAAAAAGGCTTCATCAGCACCTGTCAAATACATGTTGATATACTAAAGCCGGGATAAAGCTGGCAATCATGTTAGTTTGATGTCCTCGGTAAAACTCTTTATATAATTATCCAATTTATAACATTATCTGAATTCTTTCGGAACTGTTCGTGTAGGTTTTGTTTTCTGTGTAGACGCAGCATGTTAGCATTCATTTTTTGGTTTTTTTTTTGTTGTGCGAACCCAAGCTTAGTTTATTTGCTCTGCTTATGAATAATTTGCATTCGGACACTTTTGTCAACGATTGCTGGACTGAAATCAGCTGGGTCTCAGGCTTAATGGATTGGCACTTCTTGCAGATTTCCCTGATTTGCGATAGGAGGCTTTGGGGATTAGGATTGCGAGTTCTGGTCATGATAAATCGCCTTCGAAATGCTGGCTTGCGTTGTTTATTTGTTTGCCACGCCTCCGAAAGAAACTGGTTTCCATCAGGTTGGGTTTCCGTTCTGCGAACTGGTTCTCATTGTGGGCTCCCTAAGCTTGCGGAGAAAACCTGAAGCTGATTGACTAGCTGCCCACTCGTGGAAAGCCCACTGGAACCGTTCTAACGTGGCCACAATCGGGGGGTTAACTTGAAAAATAACCCAAAGGCCCAACCTAGCAACTCTGAATCTCTGAATATAATAACATGTACATTATGAGTCGGGAGCCGCCGCCTATCTTGTATTGACCACCCTCTCTTTCGGGCTACATTTCGGGCATATTCCTGCACGAAAATCGCTTACACGGCAAGATACAGTATCTCAAAGACACTAGTCCTATATTTCTTTTTTTTTGGCCAAAATAAGAAATCCGAATGGGAAGCCCAATAGTGAATATCAGAGTGTCGGCGGGGGTAAGAAAACTTTCTCAATGCAATTTATAACAGTTTTCTTCTGTATTTGCCTGGACACGCCCATCGATCACCGCCCACCTTTTTTGCTGCGCCGAAATTTTGCACTATTGAATAATTTCTTAGCTTTCGTTGTGTCTGCTGTAAATGATTACGAGGGCTACAATAAATAAATGTTTCACAATGAGGGGCCAACAAAAAATCCACCCCAATACCCTTGCGAAGCCATGGCAAACGTATTATTATTGAATATGCAAATGAAAAATGCTCGAAAGTGTTTGGGTCCGCAGACACAAGTGGGTGGGTGGTGTTTGGGGACCCGATGGCAAGGTCAGGACCGATTTATCTCGATTTTTCCCAAACGACCCTCATAACTGTGGGTCCAAGGATAAACATTCTGCTGTGTGTTGTGTTTTATTCTTCTTCGTCGATTTTCCGGCTGAAAAAGCGCTTGTTTTTAGGGACTTTCCTTGCAGGGAACCTAGTCTAGAGTGCGTGTGTGTAAGTATTTATTATTTTATAATAATAAGAGCTGCGCAATGTCAAATTACATTTATTTTAGGAACCCTTCGCATTATTTGCTGAACTTAAAGCACTAGCTCATGTGGTTTTATTGCGTTCGCTCCCCAATCCAATGCCACTAGCCTCTTTTAATGGAAATTGCTGTTTCAATTGCCGGATCCGCACCCCTTCGGCCCACCCCTTTTTCATTTTGAGAGCCTCATCATTAATTAAGCACTTAATTAAAACTGCAGCCGTCAAGCAAACGCAGCGAACCAGTGGAAAAAGCGGGAAAGCGGGAAAGCGGGACTGGCGGCGCAAATTGATTAGATGTCATCGCTTTCAACCGTTTTCCAAATAATCGACAACAGTGGAAATACATTTTTAAATGCCAACCGCAAAACCAACAACCAGCAACAACCACCAACAACCACCAACAACCGCCAACAACCGCCAACAACAACGCGGGCAGTTCAAGCATTTCAAGCATTTAATGCTCGATAATCGCGTTAATCAACATTCGAAATTATAGCAAAACTTTCATTTTCCAACTCTGAAATTATTGAAGGTTCCGTGGGGACGGAATTTTCAGTCGGTTTATTTTGGTGCCATGATATGGTATCGAATGCTTTATAACAATTGGATCCATAAGATGATAATGAGTTCAATTGCACGAAATGAGCTACAATAACGGAAATCGCAAAATGAAATGAAATGGAACTGATACGAAATGTGCAGGATATCAACATGGAGTGGAAACTGGAGAAATAATAAGCACTCATGTTTGGATGCTTTGCAAAGGCATTTTAATTCGATTAAAAGTGTGTAACTATCCGTTTACGACCCTATTAATTGTACAATACTGCAGAGTATCGACTCCGTAGTATCGAACAAACCACAACCACCTCGGGAAGTACAAGAGCTACGGAGTTTGAGCCTGAAGAGCACAGATTTGCGAAGCGCATAGATACATAGATTAAACCCTTTCATTGCTTTTTGGCCTGGGTAAAGCTAAAAATTGATTTCTTTTCGAATATATTTTGTTTTGCGATTTCAGGAGCATGTTTGCGTTCTAAATTCACTAATTCCCACAGCGCTGGAAAAATGCTACCAGCTGTGAAAGCACACATATTTAACCCTCTGTCGCCCATGCCGCCGTGAAATTTTGAATTAATTTTCAGCTCCATAAGAAACACAAAAAAGGAAAACACCAGCCGCATGCGAAAAAAATCAAAAAGGCAAAATGCAATTTTCACTTTTTTAAACCTAATAAACAAAAACTCTTGACTGAATGACTGACTTCGCCAACGTGTGCATACATATGCAAACATTGCGCATACGACGCGTGTGGCAAAAGCGAAATGAAAACTCTCTTCCTAGTGTGTGTGCGAAAATTGTGAAAAGCGTATTTGGAGCAGAAAATGTAATGTCTGCCCACTCCGCACTCTTCACTTATTTTTGGGGCCGCGCATTTGTTATGCGCTTGAGATTTCGGATTTTACTCCACTACATTATTTACTTATATTTTTTTTAATTTTCCCCGGCCGGCTTCCACCTTTTACGTGACGAACGGACATGTAGCAGAAACGTCCGATAAGACCTGTAATCGCACACAGCCGGGAGATAAGATTGCAGCCTAGCCTATCTCTCTATCCTATCTAGGCCAGAAGTGAGCAAACAAAACAAAACAATTACCAACCAAATCGAGCGTAAATTCGTGGGAATTCTTGCCCCAAAGTATAAACGAACTACCTGTATTTGCGCACATAAGTTTCGGGTATTTTGGCTATACTTATCTGCGTAAGTTCCTACATTCGTTTGCCTTGTGGAAAAATCCAGCGCCGCACAAAAAGCAGATAAGGTAATTAGCTTAAAGAACCCTTATCTAATCCCTATCTGTTGCTCGGCTTCCTGATAAGTAGCGCAACTTGGTACCGCATTAAACGTAGTCTTATTGCCTCACACAGGTGTTCTTTTATGTCGATAGCAGTTAGCAGTTTAAACCAAATTGTTGATTGAACGATTCAGATTGATTGACTGAGGATTTCGCATTTAATATCACTTTATAGGGATCATGGAAGTTTTAAAAGAGGAATGTAAACTTTTCTGGGTAATTTAAAGCTTATCGGGTGCGAACGGTTATCAACGAATGTTATACATATTTAAAGTTTGTCCTTCAAGAAACTTATCTGAAATTCTGACTATTGGCCTAATCTGGTTTTCGGTATGTTATGAGTTTTTGCTACCCACTATTCAAATAAATCAGCAATAAGGCATTTGTAGAATAAATTATTGCGCTGTGCAATGGTGATTATAACGAAATCAAGGGTTTTTATCGAGTTCTTTAAATCAGCTCATGTTTGCTACATATGCGCGATAAGTGGAGCAACATTGATTCAGCGGTGCGACCTTTTCACGATGAGTGGATTAATTAGCAATAATTGAGCTTGACCGGCAATTAATGTTTGTTTCTCCTATTGTTTGTTTGCTTTGCAGGTCGTAAGACGTGGAATCGACTATAGAATCGGAGTCATATCGGGCAGCAACATCGGCCACATCAACTACAACGGCAGCAGACGTCGCTAATTGCAAGTAAGCCATCAACTATAATTTCTAAATCTATATATACGTACACATTGTTATACACCGGGTGGGGAGTAGTCGAGTGGAAAGCTCTCCCCAGAAAACAACACTCGATGTAAATCGCATAACACGACATCCGAAGGCGATGGCGATGGCGATGGCGACAGCCTGCTCGACTAGCTCAAAGTCCAGCAAAAAACAAAAGCCAACAGCTTCTACGGCTACAGAGCTGCACTGAGAGAAAACAATGCCATCTCTGCTTGAGGGGTACTTCTTTTCGAATGGGCCTCTCGTACTCGTACATGTTAAATTGACCTCAAGAGCGCTCCCCAATTATTCGTTCGTACTTGCTGGTCTTGTTTCTTGCAGTGCACTGAAACACCAACACCAACTCGTCTAACTTGTCAGATCGCGTGCCAAGAAATAATAAAGAAAAATCGTGTTACTTAGGCCTGGGCCAAGTAAACAATAACAACAGAGGCAAAAAGCAGTCTCAACACTTTATGCCTAATAATCATAGCCGCAACTGCTGCTCCCTTGCACATACACACCCGCTGCCCCTCCCCCTTGCCCTTCCCGTTTTCCCGACTTTTCCCAGCCTTTTCCCGCCATCAGCAGCATTTTGTGCCATGCGCCTGCGTGCCATCTAATTAGCGTGAAACCTCAAACGCTAATCAAGAAGGGGGGCGAGCTGGATAGTTGTGGGGGGAGTCGTAATCAGAGTTATAGATGCTGGTGAGGCTGCTTTGCGGGTTCGGTGGCCAGAAAAATCGCTGGTGACAATCGAATGGGGGCATTCAAGTAGATGGAAATGGAAAAAGAGTTCGCAAATAATTACTTCTCTGGCGTTTTATTGTAAGATCGTGTACTGTACCTTTTGAATACTTAGCGAATAATACGCTTGGAGGAAACATGTCTCCTTCTTGCCTTCGACGAACTCATGCCTCATTGAATCAGAACGGAATTTGTAGGGAAAACCGCAGAGCTTTTGTGTGCAAATCCCCGTTCAGAACCACTTGGCTAGCTCTTGCCATAACCGAATCCCTTAATCTCCCTCTAAACTTTGAGGATGGCGAAGTATCTGTGTATCGCAACTTATTTGCAGTCCCAATGCGGCAGACTAAGCCCCTTTGAGCGGCCTCTGTTTTCCCTTCAATTTTCCACATTTCTCCCGCAGGAAAACCCCCAAACTATTTCCCTGCCACCTGGAAAAGCCATTGCAGAGCACCAAAAAGCAGGAGGCAAGTCGAGTCCGGGGGCGTGTGGCAAAAACGGGGTAATTGCGGCCGCAGACAACATGCTAATTAAAAGCTACTTTGCCAGCCGCATTAATATACACAAAAACACCGCAAAAATCATGCGTCCTTGCCGTTTGAAGGGGTTGGGCGTAACCCGCCCAATTCGGGAGGATTTCCCTGAGTGAATGACAACAATTTGCATTTGTTGCGTTGTGAAAATGCCAAAAGGTACACAGACACAGAAAACACAGAAACCTAATACCTTCGAGCTCTGGATCGACTTCATGTATCAAAAACATTTTACAGATTGTTGGTGGAATGTCAAGGTTATGAAATATTATAATATATATATTTAAAATAGTATGGAATGTAAGAGCAGATAGAAAGTCCGCAGTGGTAATGTGCTTTTGATCAGATTTTGTTAGCTGTGTACACACTCCTTTTCATCCCTTGAAGAATTAAGGGTTTTTGCAGTCAGCGGGGCAAGGGGAAAAAGGAGCAGACAAGCGGGTGAGGGAGTTTTTCGAGGAAATGCTAAAAGGGGATCATCTGGCGTCATTAAAAATTGTCCTGATGGGCTTTGTGGCTTTATTTTCAATTCGAAGCATATTGCACCAATTCCACATTGAAAACTTTGGTTACAAACGAACACCAAATGGGTTTCAGGAGAGCCAGCTAATTAACTGATTTACAACGAAGCTACCTTTTATCATTACGACCTTAGAACGGCTTGAAACGTAAGGAATGGTAGCCCGGAATTCATTTATTGCTCAATAAATTCCAAATAAACCTATTATTGTAGGTACTAATTTCGTGACATCCCAAAAATGCGATTTTCTTTAAAATGACTTTCTAAATTTATTCTATTCCATTGCCACTTGGATCAAATGAAAGATAAACCCAGACAAAAAAGGGGGAAACAACATAAAATTGGATAATATCGAGTGAAAACTTTTCGTTTGTTTTGAACACACATAAAACGGGATAAAACAAACAGGTTGTGGGGGTTTTCAAAGATCGGACTTTACGGAAAAGCTGCAACTGCCAGTGGAAGTGCAAGTGCTCACAAAGTTTTCATTCCGCTAAAACAGATTCCCCACACTTTCCGTAAGTCCAGTCCCTCCCCAAATTTTTCCTCTGCTCTTTCGCTTTGCTGTCGAATTCATGCCGTACGAAAATTTATGACTGTCAAAATGTAAAGTGAAGTGGGGGAAAACAAACTTGAACTGCGAAAGTGTTAAGTCACCAGGGGTGGCGACAACTTTTGGCTGGAATCTCTTCCTTAACCACTCATTGCCGACTTCGGCGAGAGGAACTTTAAGCACTGACATTTTTTGCGAAACTGCCGCAAAAAATTGAAGATTTTCGCATAATTAATGGCTCACAAAGGGTTAAGAGGGGGATTGGTAAAGTACTTTACGAAACTGCCATAGGTTTTGCAACGAAATCTTTCGGATTTGCTAAAAACTATCTGGCATGGTGGTACGTGATTATTTCATATTCATTATACCAGGAAGGGCAGCATGTTTTAAAATCGAACCGGATCGCACAAATCGCACGAACAAAGAAAAAACTGACGGACTCCAGACTCCCTGTCGATACCGAACATCTCGAAACCTTTACCTCTCCTCTTCGCGTTGCACATGCCTCATGTATTCGATGCAACTGCAATGGCAACTGGAAGTGGAAGTGCAGCTGCAACTGCAACTCCTCAGTCTTCGTTGGTGTTATTAAATGTTCCTATTTTGCTGGCAGCTCCTTGGCTCGCCGCTTCCCTAATGCGTTTAAAAATAAGTACCCAAGTCGCTTCCCTCCACGTCGCCACTTCAGCGTTCAATGTTCCCAGTTGATGTGGCTGCTGTTGCAAGATTGGCAGTGCCGTGTTGCCGTTTCTACTGCCAGGTTGTCGCCGTGCGGCACTCACTGCCTGAGTAATTGATGCGGAGTGCGTCCAGACAGATAGAAGTCTGGCATTTTCCTCGAGGTTTCCTTTAAATACACATTCACTTAATTCAACTCTCAGTATCATTAACGTAGTTTTTCTGTAACTAGTTTTCTAAAGGTAAACTAGACCTTAATAATCATTTGTTCAGAGTTTTTTTTTTGCAAGCGTTGGATGATGTATTTATTGTAATTTGCTATTTATTTAAGCTAGACACACAATGTGTTAAATCCTCTTTGTGAGAGCAAAGAATGTCATTTCTTCAGTGAGATGGCAAATGGATTCCGTTTGGCACTTCCTTCTTGAGATCCCTTTCGGAATTTGCCACGTTTTTGGCATTGTTGAGAATTTCTATTTTATATTTGAAGCAACACAACGTTCCTCTACCAGAACTCAGCTTCGATTTTATTGTTAACACTATGATGCCCAAAAGGGAATAGGAGGCAGCTACACAATCAATACGATTTACTGTTGCAAATGTGCAACTTTCAGCTACCAAATGCGCTTAACTTTCATTGTTGCGTTCAGGAATTGATTGGCTCTGAGGGCAGAGCTGTGGATATAAATACTAGTGAGATACTAGATACGCCCAATGAGATGGAATCCATCGCTATCGTTTTGATATCGAATCCAATTACCAAGAGAAGAAATATCCAGAGTGGCTTACAAGATTGTTGCCTACTTCCAGGGGACTTTGCTTACCGTCTGCAGTAAGCAGACGAATGCAAATTCTAATTCTAATTAGGTAGAAAGGAAGCTTGCCTTTTCACCTTTCACTTTTGGAAAATGAAAAATGGAAAATGGAGAGGAGAAGCTCCAGTTTGAGTTCAAGGGCACCGGGCAAAAGGACAAAACAAAGCGTGTCGCATCGAGTTGCCACTGTTGACTTGATTATAAGATAAAATCTAATTAAACAAGTTCAACTTAAGATGTCAACTTAATTTAAAAATGCCACCGTGACCCTTAAACCCGTCAACCCGTAAACCCGTAAACCCGTCGGGAAATGTAGATCCTGGTGTAGTTGTAACCCATCTCATCCCTTACGGCCTGGGTGTCTGTCATCAGCACAAACATCCTAATTACCAACTTTTTGCCAAGACTTTGGCTCTCATCAATGGACAAGAAAGTGTACGCTGGCAGCTGCAGGGGCAGAAAGTGGGCCATGGATCGTTCGTTGGGTCAGTGGAGCGCTCCACTTTACATGGTTCTGTTTCGCTGTCATCGTCGTCGTCGTCATCGTAGTCGTAGTCGTAGTCGTCGACTAATTACGTTTTGTGCGAATGGACAGGCGTCACCTAATGACCCAAAGCTGGCTACAAAATCGGAAATTGGTGGGGGGAATGGGAAAGGGAAGGGAAAGGGTACTCAAAAATGCGTTCCAAGAGTTTCCCCCCTCGTTACGCACTTTGGTAGAGCTTAAAGTACACTTGTAATGGCCTTCATTACATTGATTGGCTTAGCCAAAAATAAAAAGTGGCGTAGGTTCGGAAAAATTGGGCGAGGGGTTTTCTTTGAAAAACGTAAACCTTTTTCCAACCAATGCATCCATCGTTGCAGATGCATGCTAAAGGGAAGCAATCGATTTATATTTGATAATCGACTACCTTTCAAAAAGAGAGATCAATAATTTACCAAAATAAAGCTGACTGTGGGCTTACGGAATCGAGGTGGACTGCCCCAACGCTCCATATAATTGGGTAAAATGATATTCCTGCCAGTTTCTACTGTTCATTTCTGTTCTGCTCGTATTTATTCCTCTGCTTCGTGTGGAATTTGTTGGTTATTTTCTTCTTCGCCTAATGGCTTCGAAATGAGTTTGACTTTTTCCG